CCTCTCATGGCTCCTTACCAACACATACTTCTGCAGATGTTACTCTATGGGGTCTGTGTGGCAGATATTGGCAGTGGGGGGGGCTACAGGGGAGGTTTCTGTGGGAAACCTCTGAAAGCTTCCCCTTTGTCCAATAGACACGCCAGTCAGCTCCAAGATGTACACTCCACTGGCCAGTGTTGGGGCCATCAGCAACAGAGGTAGCGCCTCTGGGATGACAGATTTAGGAAGTGGGAAAAAAGGCAACTGCAGCCAGAGGACTGAGACTATATGAGAGGAACAACCCTGCAGACCCTGAGGTCAGTGAAGAAGGAGGGGGAGGAGGTGCTTCAGGTGCCAGAGCAAAGATTCCCCTGCATCCTGTGAAGACCACAGTGAGGCAGGATGTTCCCCTGCAGCACATGGAGGTCCACAGAAGAGCAGAGATCCGCCTGAAGTAGGTGGATGCCCAAAGGAGGCTGTGACCTTGTGGGAAGCCCATGCTGGAGCAGGCTCCTGGAAGGACCTGTGGTGAGAGGAGCCCCTGCTGGGGTTTTGCTGTGACTTGTGACTCCTTGCTGGTCCCATCCTGGAGCAGTCTGTACCTGAAGGAATGTATTCCCTGGGAATACACCATACACATTCCCACCATACGCTGGAACAGAGCAAGAGTGTGAGGAGTCCTCCCCCTGAGGAGGAAGCAGCAGTAGCAGAGATGATATGTGTTGAAGTGACTGCAGCCTCCATCCCCTGCCCCCCTGCACTGCTGTGGGGAGGAGGTGGAGTATAAAGGGAGGGAAGCTGAGCTCAAGAAGAGGGGAGAAGTGTGGGAGGGAAGGTATTTTTAAGATTTTTTTTTTATTATTAATCATCCTGCACAGATTTGATTGGTATAATTCAAACTAATTTCCCCAAGTTGAGTCTGTTTTGTCCATGATGGCAGTAGGCGACTGAACTCTCCTGATCTCAATCCACAGCCCTTTTCTTACATTTTCTCTCCCCCATCCAGTTCAGGAGGGCAGTGACAGAGCACCTTTGTGGGGGACCTGGCATCCCTACCATATTTATCCAGGTCTTTCCCTTTGTCTCCATTTGGCATGGCTCATTATCAGTAGTTTCTGCTGAAGGGTTCATCCTTTCTTCATACTAAAGGGGCATGTAGCAACCTGTTTCTCTGTCTGCTGCTGGATTTTTTAAGGCATTTCCAGATGCAGAGGACTGTGTTTAGCCTGTGTACTGGATGAAAGGTCAGGTACATCTTGCTAGTGGTCACTGAAGAGGTTACAAGTGAGCTGTCAAGAGCCTGAATCATTCTTTGTGCAAATAATGCCAACAGAGTGAGAGTGGTCAGGAGCTGCTTCACAGGATCTCTGCCAAGATGGGCTTTTCCTGGATGATCTTTGAGTGGCTGACAAGGTCTAATGTCAGAGCTGCTCTGTAACAACATCATAAAATGCCTTGATGCTCCTCTTTTCAATCTCATCACTGCCAGCCTGGAGTATCAGCAGTGGGTAATAATCAGATGGCCAATTCAGGCCAAGAAGTCTCAGTGATATCCCCTACCCAAGTTCCAGGAGGCAGCAGACCTCCCTGTGGGATGGGTCTAGTCGACATATGGAGCCCTCTGTTCCCCTCAGAAGGGAGTAACCCACTTCAACTACACTCCTTTTGTTTTTGATGTCAGAGGTGGAGATCCGTCCTATAGATGAAGGGTAATTGGGAGGCTCACTGGGCAGATAATTTTCTTCTACATCATCTGGCTGACCCTCTAGATCCAGGGCCTCCTACGTATTCTCAAGTGGCACCTGGGTAGGTGATGGGGGTTGGGAGGAGTTTTTATTACATCCCCAGGTGGGAACCCATTTCCACTCCCCTTCATCCACCAGGTGTCCTATTGCCTGACAGTGGGAGGTGTGGGAGTCCTGGGACTCCTGTTGGGCCTCCCTCAAGGATGGAAGGGCAGAACTCCAGCAATCTATTTCTATTTTAAGCAGCATTTAATGAGCAGCACTCATATTATGCCTAGTATGTGACAAAACAACTTAGCAGAATAAATCATATGTATCTATAACATCTATTATAAATACAATATTTTCTAAAATATGGTTTTCATCTTAATATGCACTTCATTGAAATTGGTTTGGTAAAGCTGTCAGCATGAACAGAAACCATCTCATACCATGATGTATTTTAACAGTATTGATTTTATTAGATGCAGAAGAGATCAAAATTGGCTTATTACAAATCGTTATTTACAAACTTGATTGTGATTTTTTTCTGTGAAAGAAAGTACAATATTGATGTGAACTCAAGGAATAGGAAAGAGACTCTTCCTATGTGTAAAATAAGCTTGTATCTTTTGGCAGACAGACTTTTTTCTCCCCTGAGCCCAATTTCTGATGCAGTTAAAAGGAGAGAGGAATGTGTTCCCCTGAAATCAGAGAATCACAGAATGGTTTGGAACCCAGCTGTGTGCTTTGAGAGATCTTTCTCATTTTCAGAAATCTCAATTTCTGCCCTTCAAGTGATAGGTAATAATGAAATTGAGATACGGTTTCCCAGTTTCTGTAAAATTTGCAATTGAGAACTTTCTGCAGAAAGATGCCCCAAGATCTTAATTCTTAAGCATGTTTTATTTGCTCTGCTTTTTGGAGTTAGAGGGGAGGTCTTGCTAGATGTGTGTTTGAAATATTTAGCAAGTAGATGTAAGCTTATTCTGTTCACCCTTTGGTGCAATTCAAGTAGTTGTGATAAGCACAGAACATACACAAAATAGCAAATCCTGCCAACAGGCACAGTGTGAATTTAGCACTAAATTGCTGTACCTGTGCACTTCCTTGGCAGCCCTGAGAAGGAACAGAGTGGGTTCATGTATGCCTAAAATACCGCATGAATATGGAAACTCCGTGTGCACCACAAAGGTCTGGCAATTGTAAAAGATTAATGGAACAAACTAGATTAAAGTTAATGATTTTACATTTCAGTAAAGATGTGCTGTAATTATCTTAATTTATTTCACAGAGAAAACTAATTACATTTAATTGAGTAATGAAAAAATACAACACCTTTTATAATTACTAACTCCTGTTTATTTCTGTCCAGACACTCAAAACATTGTTTTACAGAATAATGAACTTTTGTTTTGGCAGAAATCCATGTAAGCACATGAGAAAGTTTGAAAGACTGTCAATGTCAAATAGCTTTCTTTGGGGTATTTAAAAATTGTTATCTTAAAAAAAAAGCCACATCTTTGTATGTAGAATCAAAAAGGAAATTAATTACAAAGTCTGAGAATTCCCAAAGAGATTATGAACATGAAACCTGAGAGTACAAGTGACATTTCTGAGATTTTGGAATGATGTCATGATTTCTCTTGCAAAAATTCAGAAAATGCAGTATACTTAGCAGCCTAGACCTTTTCAGGTCTTTCCTTTGTAAAGGAAAGCTTTCCCAGAAAGAGAGGAAGCCCTCTGTCCTTGGATAGTGAGGATGCAAGGAGGGAGTTCAGATTGTTAGTCTTTCTGTCTGTCATCTGAATTGCTGTTTCCAGTTTCCTTCCACTTGGCCATCTATTTCAAGTGCCATATTAATTTCATAATCCAGCTCATATTTGGTGGGTTGGGCCAATTGCTGTTTGTGGATGTGATTATGTGACACCTGCTTGTAATGTTGGAAATCTGTGATAGTGCTGTATCATAACAGAGTCTGTCTGTTTGCCTAATACGAGAGAGCTAATTTATTTCTTTTTTCCCAGAGGTGCACTGCTAAAATTTAAAACAAAAGACAAGTTAGAAAGACCTGATGGAAATCACTGCCTGTAGATTGCAAGTAGTCACCAATTTGCTTTAGCTCTGCTTTTCAGCACCTCTCATTTTTCACTCACTTTTTTCCCCGCTTTGGTTTTGCTTCTTAAACTGCCCCCAGCTTTGACACAGAGCCTTTTCCTCTGCAGCAGGCTGACAGCCTTTCTTTATCTCTGAGCATAACAGTACCAAAGAGGACATAATTTTTTCATACCTAACTTACAGTATCTTAATTTTACTCTGTAATATCATCTCTCATTAATTCTAATACTAGTTAATTAAGCACAGAAACTATTTTTGAGTCAAAAATGCCTTGTAAAATAGAATTATCCTGAATTGTGCTGTTTCATTTGTTACTTTTGCTCATAAAAATCTATCAAATATGACTTTCTCTTTTAAACCTTTGCTGGTTAACGTTTCTCATGTAATAGGCAATCAGGTACCAAAGTAAATCTAAAATGAAATAAAATTTCCTCGTAAAACTAAGAAAATTTGAAATTACTAATTTTTAATTTATAAAAATTTCTTGTCTGATAAAACTTTATGGAGATTTTTGATGTATAGTCTAAGAGGAACAAACAAGACAGCAAAAATTTTTAGATATGCGAGGAGTGTGTTAGTAAGAAAGGCAAAAATTATTCTCTAGCTGAGATTTAGGAACTCTGAATAGACTTAATAAAAGCTTATTTAAATACTGCAATAAATATGTATGAATATATGCTGAAATATACCAGGAAATATCTCTTGAAGGGGAAATGTAGAATGAATTGTATCCACAGTCATTGTGTCTCAGAAATTGTAAAAAGAACTAGTAGCTAAAGTGCTAAAATTATCAACAAGGTAATAATATATTATTGACTTTGCTTCAGACCAGTCCAGAAATAAATTGTCTGTTAAGACTTCTGGATATTTTATCTTTAGTCCTGATATACCACCACTAAGAGCACAAGCTTTACTGTCTGTATTGCTGATGGAAGCTTTATTATCTATATTTACAGTGAAAAAGGACTTCTGGAAAATCATTTTTTTTAGGATACCATGTGAATCACAAAACTGCTATTATGTCACAACTGGGGCTATGGTAGTAGCTTTTTTATCATCAGGAGTGTTTTAATTACCAAGAAATACTAGCATATTAACAAAAAGCTATTTATATTTGTAGAGACAATCTTTGCTTGCCTCAACATTTCTGCTTTTTTTTTTTCTTTTTTCCTCCAGGGCACAATACAGAACTATGATAGCAACTGGAGGAGTCATAACAGGACTGGCTGCCTTAAAAAGGCAAGACTCTGCCAGATCTCAGCAACATGTAAATCTTGCTGGAGTACCAGTTCCTGAGGAGAAGAAACCAGTTAGACGCCGGCCCAGGACAGATGTAGTAATTGTCAGGGGCAAAATCCGTCTCTATTCTCCATCGGGATTCTTTCTTGTTTTGGGAGTGCTTATTGCATTCTTTGGAATTGCAATGGCCATCCTTGGCTACTGGCCCCAGAAGGAACAGCTGTTAGCATCTGAAGACAATCCATCTGTAAATGAAACCCGGACCTCGAGAAGCCAAGGGAGCATTTTACTTCGCTTCTTTGAACAGCACATGCACTCAGATAAGATGAAAATGCTGGGCCCTTTCACTATGGGCATTGGGATCTTCATTTTTATTTGTGCAAATGCCATTCTGCATGAAAACCGTGACAAAGAAACAAAAATAATACACATGAGAGACATATACTCCACTGTAATAGACATCCACACCCTGAAGATCAGGGAACAAAAGCAGCTGAGCGGTGCCTACACTGGCTTGTTGGGGGAAGGAGAGCTCCGGCACAGTGGGAGCTCCTGTGCGTCACAGCTGGCTGCGAACACGGTTGCGCCTTTCTCTGGCTTCAAGAGTAATCTTAGAATGGATAGTTCTGCTGAAGAAGATGAGATTACCCTAAATGAAGATAGGACCACTAGTAGCCTCCTGCCACCTCTGCTGGCTGAGCAGTCTGGTTCAGTCTTTGGACTTTACCCTCACTCCAGCAAGGCTTCAGATGACAAAAGCACTAACTCTATAAAGTGTGAAACAAAATCCATTGTATCTTCTTCCATTAGTGCTTTCACACTTCCAGTAATTAAACTGAATAACTGTGTTATTGATGAACCCAGTATAGACAACATAACTGAGGACTCAGAGATCACCAGGGGTCAGTCTAGAAATCTGTCAATGGATTCTCTGGCCATTCCACTAACTGATACCAATGAATCCTACAGACCGGCCGCCTCCGTGCTGCCACGACACAATTCATTTGTGGACACTCCATCCGATCCCTTCAAATCTTCCATGGCTCTCGGACCAAGCACAGGGAAGCTATTATCTCCTGGTGCTGCCAGGAAGCAGTTTGGTTCCAACACATCTTTGCATCTTCTGTCTTCACATTCTAAGTCCCTGGACTTGGACAGAGGTCCGTCTACGCTCACTGTCCAAGCTGAACAAAGGAAACACCCCAGCTGGCCCAGACTGGATCGGAGCAACAGTAAAGGCTATATGAAACTAGAAAACAAGGAGGACCCAATGGATAGGTTACTTGTGCCACAAGCAGCAGCCAAGAAAGACTTTACTAATAAGGAAAAGCTTCTTATGATATCAAGATCTCATAATAATTTGAGTTTTGAACATGATGAGTTTTTGAGTAACAACCTGAAGCGAGGAACTTCTGAAACAAGATTTTAGTATTTAAATTGCAATTTAGAAGATGTAATATGGTGTTTTTTAAAAAAGCGTTTTGACAAGTGTTTCCTTTTCAGTGAGACTGTACGAGCCTGTTCTTAACCAAATGCTTAATAACTCATTAAAATTGGCTTGTGCAAACAGAGGTATTCATCTTTGTAATACCAAGTTTCTTGTCTTAGTAACAATCGGCTGCAATACTGTACATTATCATTGCTTGGTCAGTTTTGTTATGACTTACTCCAATTATTTCCAAGTCACTATTTCTTTTGTTCTATATACACATGTTACTTTTCACCTTTTTCAATTTGACTCAAGGAGACTGCATTAGGGGAAAAAAGCTCAATTTACCTGTAATTTCTCTTGAGTTAAAGACTGCAAGAGACTGAAAGCAGTGGTCTTGTGGTCTAGAATGGGAAGTGATCAGGAGCACGTACTGGAATTGTCAAATCCAGGCCTTTATTCCTAGGTGTTGTCTTTCACATGCAGTACATCTCAGTAACTGCAGTCTTGCCATTGTCATTGTGAGAAACTTGTTTACATACTGGGGTGGGTGGATAGAAAAGAGTGGATATAATTAAACCATTTTTGTGAATTCACTGTAATTGATCAAGCTGAATACCAGTGTTGTGAATTATTAACTATGCTTTGTACAGTAATCTTTCTACATCCATTGTAATTTAATCCTGTAATTCTGGAAGAGCATATATAAAGTAAGAAATGTGAAATTTTTTTCTGGGATTAAGTCTCTAAACTACTTTGATTGGCAACAGTTTTAAAATCAAAATAGAAAGATTCAATTAAAATCTTAGGAAGATTATGAATGCCAACAGGATTTTAGAAATATGGTGTATAATAAGATGATACTGTTAACTTGCATCTGAAGACAATAATGGAGAATGAATATATTGCCTCTCATTACAATAACAAGATGCTAAATAACTAGATCTCTGTGTTCAAAATACTGATACAAAGCATACAATTCAATATTCTAACATAGTATGAAAGTCCCTTGCCTAAATTTTGATTTATATATTTCACATAATAATTGATGTGATGGTTTACCGAAGGCTTAGCTGTGTCAATTTGCATTACAAGATTTTGCAAAAGGAGCTGACTTTTCAAACAGTGTTTTTCTCAGCAAAACAGGCTTCACAGTTGACAGTTGTAGGCTATTGCTAAAGAAAAGGAGAATTGGGATGTGCATATCAGAAGGTTTTAATGTATGTCATTGCTGTTTAGGCCATGATCCTGCCATTACAGCCACACTAGAGAATGTCCCTTCAAAGCTGCAAGGCTCACCCAACAGGATGTTGGTCATAATTGGTTGGATTTGATATATTCACTTACTCTGAATACTCAGGAATTATTTTTAATGGCTTTTCCCAAAAAGAATCAAGCTTGTTAAAATGTTGTAATTTCTCAATTACTTAGATTATGAAAGATGGAGGATAAAATACAGTCTCTTTTTTTCTTATTTTTTTTTTAAATTTAATATTTGGCTCTGTATTTCAACTGCGCGATGTTTATGTACCAGGAGCGTTACTTGCTCAGTGATTTGAGGCATAGTGTTAACTGTTAGAACCTCAAGACTATATATTGTAACAGAGTTGGCTAAATATTTTGCTATGAAGCTTTTAATAACTCACTGGTTTGTGTTCTTAAGACATTTGCTATTTTTTGCAATAAAATGTCTCTCTACACATATCCATTGTAAGAACTGTTTTTTCCTCTATGATCTCCAGTCTTACATATCAGAGTATAATTGTGTATCATAACACTGCACACAACATTGTGCCTAAATACTTAGCCCACCACAAGATATTTCTTCATGACTAATTGATTTCAGTGACATGTCTACACTTGGAAAGGCTGAATACTTTTTTTACCCATTAAATGTGAAATGTATTCAAAGTTGCTACAAGAAACTTTGTATAAAAAAGAACATCCTGGTCTTTTTATTTGGCAGTAAGTATTATTATAAAAATGGAAAACACTATTAAAGACATGAGTGATGTAAGCTTTTTATTTCCTTAATAGCTACATTAAATCACAGCTTAAAAGACTTCACATACTATCATATGTATATGGTAATTGGAATGGTAGTTCCTTTGTAAGTATAGCAGGGGATGAGCTTTTAATTTTAACACAGATAATAAATACTGAAAAACATACTCACTTGGGAAAAATTTACCAAGATAAAGCTATCAAAATAGCAGCATATAAAGTAACTTCATAGTTGACAGACCTACTACAAAAATATTCCCTTATTAACATAAAATGAAGTATTTCATTCAGGTAATCACTGGACTGCTGAGATTGAAAGGGACCTGTGGAGGTCATCTTGTCCACCCCACTTCCTGCTCAAGCAGAGCTGTCTCACAGCGTAGACGTGGTTGCCCAGGACTGTGCCAAGATGGTTTTGCATAACCCCAAGGAGAGAGACCTCACAACATCCCTTTGTGACCTGTGCCAGTGCTTGGTCACCCTCACAGGAAAAGAGGCTATCTAATGGTCATAGGCTCCCTCCAGTGTTTCACTTTGTGCCCATTGTCCCTTGTCTTGACTCTTTCCAGAGCCTGGCTCCTTTTCTGTACCTCCTATTTATACACAGTGACAAGATCCTCCTGAGCCCTCTCTAGGCTAGACAGTCCCAGCTGATTCAGCCATTCCTCATAGGTCCCTTCATCGTCTTTGTGGCCCTTCACACAACCAGCTCCGGTATGTCCATGCCTTTCTTCTTCTGAGGGGACCAGAACTGGACCCAACATTCCGGATGTGGCCTCAGCAGTGCTGTGTAGAGGGGAAGGATCAGCTCCCTTCAAGGTTCATGTAGGACATTGCATAGTTTCATATTCCTTAGGTAGTTCCAGCTTGAGCTCAGGTTGAGAAAACTTGTGGATGTTCAAGAGACCTGAACATAGACAGAATTCAGAAACTGCAGCAGGGCAGAGATGTCTGGACCCTTTGCAATACACAGGGGTATACAGGAACCTTACAGTGGCCAAAATGGGAGCCATGTTCTGTTGGTAAGGAACTGATAAAGACAAAAGCATGTCTTAAATTTTATCTTTAGGCTATAATTATCTTATTCAGTTTCTGATACAGTTCACAGACCTTTTTATAATTTGATTTCCATTATTGATGTGCAGCCCCACAATGAGTTTCTCAGATACATTCCAGGGTGAAAAAGAAGCCAAAGTCAGGACAGTTTTGTCATCAGAGGAAGCAATTGTGGAGCTACACCACAAACTTTTTCCTATCATTAGCAGCTAAACCTTATATCTATTCAGATATTTTTAAAAAATAAAAAATCATTTCGATCATACAAACAATGAATTTTCTCCTTTCTCTACCTAAGACTATTTAAAAAATATAATTTCTGCTCCTTCTTAATAACTGCCTATGGGTCAGAATGATGGTTTGGTCTGTCCCTCCTAAAAAAGCACAAATTTTTGGGCAAGTTTATCAGGAAATAAAGAGCAGCTATCTACAATGATAGGGTTACAATGCTGGGTTACAACCTTTTCCAGAATTGCTTCTGTATTTTACATGAAATGGTTGCTGGATAAAATCCTTGAAACTGGTCTTGAGTTCTTGACAGGTTGATACTTTAACTACTCCCTGGTGATTCCAGATTACTCTCCTTGGGAGGCAACGAACAAAAGCCTTCCTTGCAGAGCAGTACCCAGTTCAGCAGGAGGGACTGACAAATGCTTTCAGCTGCTCAGTTGTACGTGGCTTAATGGATGGGAAGACATGAGTTTTCTTAGCAGCAGAAGGCTTTTGGCACAGTGTTACTTATCCTGATGGCTGTCCTAGGGCTGGAGCTGTGTAAAGGATGGAAAGGTGAGCTGGCACCATCAGTATGGTTTTGGAAGAAAATGGAATTTTATTTTATTAACTGAGCAGAATTCTTGAGGTTGCTAGGTTTGGAGATAGACATCTACAACTGTCCTGCCTCACATTACCCAAACAAAATTTTTTTTGCAACTATATCATAATGCCTTTCTCAGAATGTAGGTTTGATTTTGCTCATTCTTAAAATGCAGCATAGCTGGTCCTTTCTACAGAGAGAAATTTGGGAAATAAGATTAACCAGCAGCAGCAGCTTCTCTCTGAAAAGAGTTTCATGCTGATTGTTCCTGGCTCACTTTAGTCTTATAATTTTAAATTATTTCTTTATATGAGCTTTTTTCTAATACTTTCCAGGAAATTTCACCTTCATCTTCCCAGCACTCTTTTTTTTTTTTTTTTTTTTTTTAATTTTCCTACCAAATATGGTACTGTGATAAGCAAGTATAAATCTTTTAGCAAGACTATGCATGTGCATATGAGAGTGCACATGGAATAAATAGCCTATTACAATGTAGGAGTGCTTCAATTAGTATGATTTAGCTACTCAAGGGCAAGTTCATGTCCTTTGTCTAAATCTCTTCAAATTAAACTCAGGAGCAAATTGATTGCAGTTATCAGAGTTGTTCTGTTTAACTTTCAAGTGACACTTATTAATTCCTCCATCCATATTCTATGTATGGCCATATTGGTTTGTATTTCAGGATTCAGTATCTGAAATAAACCTCAAGTATTTGACACATTCAGTAAAGCCCATTTCTTAATACTGTTACCTATCTGAGTAACAGTTGGCAGAATTACAGCCCTAAGTCTCACTAGGAATGGAAACAGGATAGTTAGAATAATTTTATTTTAGACTAGTGTGGCCAGCAGGGCAAGGGAGGGGATTCTGACCCTATGCTCTGTTCTGGTGAGACTCAACCTGCAGTGCTGTATCCAGCTCTGGGGTCCCAGCACAGGAAGGATGCTGACCTCTTAGAGAGAGTTCAGAGGAGGCCACCAAGTTGATCAAAGGGCTAGAGCATCTTTGCTATGAGGAAAGGCTGAGAGAATTGGGATTGTTCAGCCTGGAAAAGAGAAGGCTTCAGGGTGACCTAATTGTGGATTTCTAGTACCTGAAGGGAGCCTACAAGAAAGATGGGGCAAGACTATTTACGAGAGCACATAGCGACAGGAGAAGGGGACACATGTTCAAATTGAAAGTGAGTAGGCTTGAATTGGGTATTAGGAAAAAATGTTTACTGTGAGGGTGGTGAGGCACTGGAGTGGGTTGCCAGGAGAAGTTATGGATGCCTTATTACTGGAGATGTTCAAGGTCTGGTTGGATGGGGCTCTGAGAAACATGGCAAGTTGAAGATTTCCCTGCCCATGGCAGAGGGTTTGGAACTAGATGATCTTCAAGGTCCCCCTCCAAAAAAAAACCACCAAAACAACAAAAAACCAACAAAAACAAACAAGCAAAAATCTCACTATATTGAATAAACAATCTGTATGTCTAATCTGTTGTGTTGGTTCTAATTCAGGTAGATAATGCTTTAGAGGGGAGTAGTTTACAAGCACTGTGAATTATCCATATGAAGAAACATAAAGCCATTGTTTCCCCTTACCAGTTTTTATTCCAGCTAATGTAATTGTTCAGGATAGCATCCACAGAAACATCTAATCCATTTATGAATTCCACTAAGCTTTTCTTTTCACTGACACAATTTTGTAAACTACTGCAGATTAATTATGAATTGCCAGTAAATATATTTCCCTTATCATTTGGCAATTCTTACCATCACTCTTATTTCATTGTAACAGCCAATGGCTTCACTATTAAAAAAGATAGTTCCAGGAATAATCTCATATCCTGTGTAAATATATTGACATTTCTGGGGGTTTGTTTTTCATATTTTTAAATAAATTAATCACTTAATTGTTTAGAGGTATCCTGTGATTCACCATACAACTGGTTTAGCACTAGGATCTTTTTGTTCTCAGAATCGATTCCTACTTTGTAGGCAACACTGTATGGTTTTGGCAAAGCAAATGGTGTTGGCCTCTGAATTACATGATTTTTTCACTTTTATTATTATATTCCATTTCCTTCCAGCCTGTTGGACAATTCAGTTTTCCCTCTGCTCTCTTTTATATTGATGACACTTACCTACTCAGTGCAGCCCAACAGGAGTGGATCTGTGCTTGTTGGGCTCACTGTCCCTCCTGGTTGCATTTTAGAGACTTTGCTTGACTAACTCACGCTTGGGCTGGTTGGACTGAACATCCATTGATGACTGGAATATGTTATGGGCTTCTGGAGGGCAGCTCCTTATTTATTTGCCTCTGGAGGGAGTCCTGTGTGTGCTGTGAGATTGCTGTTTGGGATGAATTGAAGAGTGGTACACAAGGCCAGCTTGGAGATTTATTCCAAAGGAACACTACCAACCTGGAAGAAACATTTTGCTCAGCCACACCCTCAGTGACTTCTGAGAATTGCATCAGCACAAATATACATTTTCCATAGATCTGGTAATATTAGTTTCATGTCGTCCTTTAAAAACCTCACTGATTATCTTCCTGAAGCTTTGTACATCATCTACCAGCCCAATCAGCCAACTCCTCATTTGACACTCAGCATATTTTTCGTCCAAATTCCCTTTTGCTCCTTGGGTAATGATTTCACATGTGCTACAGTGTGAAATGCTTTGCTTAAGTCAGAGGAGATGAGCTCTACTCCATGTTTTGTCCAGAAAATTACCATTTCAAAAAGAGATACCAGTTCAGTGTGGCACATCTACT